CTCGCGAACAAACTCACTCGCGAACAAACTCACTCGCGAACAAACTCACTCGCGAACAAACTCACTCGCGAACAAACTCACTCACGAACAAACTCACTCGCGAACAAACTCACTCGCGAACAAACTCACTCGCGAACAAACTCACAAACTCACTCACGAACAAACTCACTCACGAACAAACTCACTCGCGAACAAACTCACTCACGAACAAACTCACTCACGACGCTCCGCCCCTTGTGCCGGGAGCTTCAGCTCATTTGATTTTAAGGGACACACAAAAACGGCACATTTTTGCTCACCCACATAAAGTGAAATTTTAACATGCTATAAACAAATTTCTGTGGGGTATCTAGAGCTAAAGCTTCACACACACTCTGGTGACATCAGAGACTTATTTTAAATGTTTAGATGTAAATGTGAGGCCGCGCTGAAGATCCGACCTGTGTGCGAGACTCCGGGTCTCTCTGAGCCACATCCGACAGCAGCGTCACCAGACAGAAGCTGAAGTTCTCCGCCATCGGGAGAGTCTCTGTTTCCACATACAAACACAAGCTTGATTTAAGCGTCTATTTATGGAAAAGTATTGTATTACGAATCTGTAAGAATTACAAGGCTCTGATGGCAAACTCAACTTACAATACAAGAGTGCAGAACACATGAAGAGTTCAGATGCAAAAGCCTCTAAATGCCATTTGAAATTTTCTTCTAAAATGATCATTTTTATCAAGCTTGTATATTTAAGTTCAGTAATTTCACTTAAATGGCAATGATAATTACCTATTAATTGTTATTTAAGTGAAATTACTGAACTTAAATATACAAGTTTGCTAAAAATTATCATTAAAGAAGAAAATTTCAAATGGCATTTAGAGGCTTTTGCATCTGAACTCTTCACATACACTACTAAAAAGTTGGGGGTTGTTGAGATTTTTAATGTTAAATGTTAAAGCAAAAATAATGCAAAACAGTGAAATATTATTACAGTTTAAAACAGCTGTTTTCTAAGTGAATATATAGTAAAGTGTAATTTATTCCTGTGACTTTCAGCATCATTACTCCAGTCTTCAGTGTCACATGATTCTTCAGAAATCACTCTAATATGAGGATCTGACATTTATGATTATTATTAATGTTGAAAATCGTGATACATTTTATTTTTCAGGATTCTTTGATGAAAAGAAAGTTCAAAATAACAGCATTTATCTGAAATAGATTCAATTTAATGCATCCTTGGTGAATAAAAGTATTAACGTCTTTAAACTTTTAAACATAGTGTGCATGCTTACATATACAGTAACGTACTTGATAAAGATGCATGAGAGACGAATAAGCAAACTGGTACCTTTACACTTCCTCCCAGCGTTCTCCTCCACCCATTGCACTCTGGGTAACCCCTTGAGCAGACTCAACAGGTAACTTACCACGGTATCTTTGTGCTGAGAAAGACAAACATCACATGCAAACCAAATGTTGGGAAGATGCAACGTACAGGAGAAACTCGAAAAATTAGAATATGGTGCAAAAGTTCATTTATTTCAGAATTCAACTTAAAAGGTGAAACTTATATTATATATGTGAGATGAGATATTTCAAGCCTGTATTTGTTATAATTTTGATGATTATGTCTTACAGATATGAAAACCCCAAATTCAAAATTAGAATATTGTGAAAATGTTTTCATATCTGTAAGCCATAATCATCACAATTATAACAAATAAAGGCTTGAAACATCTCACTTTGCATGTAATGAGTCTATATAATATATTAGTTTCACCTTTTAAGCTGAATTACGGAAATAAATGAACTTTTGCACCGTATTCGAGTTTTTGAGTTTCACTTGTACATCTGAATGTACTTGCAAATCAAATCCAAAATCTATTAACAGTATATGCTTCAAAAAAAGACAAACAAATGCATATAGTATGTTTATGGAGAAAAAATTATGCAATAAATTTACATTAGAAGCAGGATGGCGAGAGATGAAGAAAAGAGTCCAAGCTGAACAGAGTGTGTGTGTTTAAGTGGCTTAACCAGCTCTAAACCAGCTGTGATCACATGATCTGCTTTAGCAGTGAGTTTCTCGCATAAACCAGCTTAACACACACACACTTATTTATTTGAGGATGTTCCCAAAGGGAGTTGTGTCCTATTTAGCAACAATTTGGAATTGTATAAGATATCATTTTTGATATTTTTTAACTAGTACTAAAATAAAGTAAACTGTGGCATATTATACCTAAAAATTCTTCATACAGTGAAATGCATAAAAATTTGGGACCAAAAATCATTCAGACCTGATCATGTTTTGCTAAAGTGTGATTTCTGTAATTGCTTATGCTCTTTTTACACACAGACTGAACAATATGAAGCATTGCTCGGAGCTAAACTGGTATTAAAACAAGCTCATTCACCTGTAAATCTGACTCGACTAGGAACACAGCCAGTGCGACGACCGCATCCCTGCGCCGAACATCCAGACTGAAGACGCCTCGACTGTCACACGGACACATGCATAATAACTTCTGCACCTGATGGAGAAACACACACTCTTATCAGTTACAACATAAAAAAAGCTCAACTTCCCTTTAAGAAAGACGAGCAGATCTATCAGCAATCTGCAGAACAAGAACAACCCGTTAAAGGGGACATGACATGAAAATCGCACTTTTCATTAATGATGTTTCGGTTAATGGAAACACCGTCATTTCACAATAGCATTTTTGTCGACATTTACTGTAGAAGAAGAAAAATAATAACAGTTTTGCGCAAATCTGGAATGGAAACGCACCTACATTCTGAGGACACCAGACATTTATATTACATCTTGTAAAAAGGGGCATAATATGTCTCCTTTCAGAGAATCACACATGGTTTGAGAGCATGCATGTGTGGGCTAATCGACTATAATAATCATGTGTGATCGATGAATCTGGCATTTCACAAGCTGCTGCATTGAACACTATGATAGCATCAGAAACACAAGCATTGACGCAACTGGCACTATCTGGCACCACTTAGTGCCTGGCATACGCTTAAAAGCCTCGGACACGTGACAGCTCTGAACATGTTGCTTTTGCAAGTACATTTCATCAATGTAAACAAGCATTCCATGCAAAATTGTCAGTTTAGGGCAGATGTGATGCATTTATTCAGCTCAAGCTGAACTAACACAAAATATCATGCTTTTTTTTCTACATATTTCATGTTTCAAGATATTTCGGGGCAAACAAGTAGGCCTATATTCATTATGTCAATTAATGAGCTCATTGTTTTTGCCTTACATTATTGTTTAAATTAATATATTTTTAGCTAACGCATGCACATTTCTAAAATACATAACTTAGTTACCTCTGAATCTAAATTGTAATATGGAATCATGCATTTTCTGTAAAGCTGCTTTGAAGCGATGTGTAATTGCGAAAAGCGCTATACAAATAAATGTTTATTGAATATGCAATTATTTAAAGTACAGGAAGTCGTCATTATGGATGTTGGACTCATGCAATGACATATGATATTTCAGATCATCATAACAAGAATCAAAACGGGTTAAACGCAGACTGGTCGCGTGCACATAATGAAAGTGCTGCGCAACAAACTTGCCACGCGCTGCAGCCTGTGACACCTGTCGCGTGCATCACGATAATGCAGCACAATATTATAACGATGTGCCGCAGCCAGATAATAACAGTGTGTGAGTGTGTGAGTGTGTGTGTGTTGTACCTTCTCGACGGGCGCTGGTCTGTGGGCTGCCAGGGAGCGCGCGAGCGACAGAACCGTGTTGAAATAAAACTCGCGCGTGCCACCGCCACGGGTGGCCATGATTCACGAGAAAAGTTCAAAACACACAGGAGCGATGGTTTCCTCAGCTGTCCGTGGTGGAGAAGAAAAACACGACCGCAATACGGAAAGTGTGAAGGCACAAATAACAGCCAATGAAGAGGAGAGAGAGGGAGAGAGAGCGAGCGAGCGAGCGAGGCGTGTCTGCATTAAAGCATCATCAGTGTGAAGTTTGTCTTATTGGCTCATGATACAACTGATGAATATTTACACACAAGTGATGGAGTTTTTGTTTTTTAATGTATAAACGTGTTTTCTAAAAGTGTCTTGGCTAAAACATATATTTTTAAGTTTCTTGCTCTTTTTGTAGTAGCATTTTTTTTGTAATATTTCTGTATAATAAATAAATAATGTTGATGTAAGAAAAAAATATTACTACTAATAATAATACATTTAAATACATCAATCATTTATTGGTAGGATTAGTAGTTGTAGAATTAATATATTATTATTTATATTAAATAGTCAATGTTTATTATAATAATAATAATAATTTAGCATTGTTGCTGTTGTTATTATTCACTAACAATATTTATTATGAATAATAATAAGTAGTAGTAGTAGAATATATTGTTTTGTTTTAATTAGTATTAATAATAATAATAATAATCGATCATATGGATAATCAATTTTTAATAATTATTGTTAATGGAAGTAGAATCAATCAATTATTATTTTATATGAGTAAACAATATTGATAATAACAACATGGTGTTGCTGTTATTATTCACTAAGTATATTTATAATTAATAATAATAATTAATAGTAGTAGAATATATTGTTGTATATGTATATTATTATTTATAATAATAATACATTTGTTTAATCGTATTATTAATATTATCGAACATAATAATAATAATTATTATTATTAAGTAGTAGTAATAGAAGAATTCATATATTATTATTTATAATGATAGTTTATTATTATTTGTATCATTAAAATTATTTATTAACAATATTTAAAGTTAATAATAATAATCATTTGTAGTAGTAGTAGAATAGTATATTGTTTATTTTTATTATTATTATTTATAAGAAGAAGACAAATATTTAAAAGTGTATTTTGTGGCTCTAACTATATCTGTTTTCAAATCCTATCTATTGGTTTCGAGACCTAAACGGCGCTGTCATAAATAATAACATCTAAAAGTGAAAACAGGGGGAAACAAAAACGAGGAGGAGCCTATCTGACGTCACCGGAAGTGTTTCGCCAGCAGCGTCAGCTCAGCTGATAGCAGGAGAACAAATCTCTCTCTCGAGCGATCAAAGGTACAAATCTGTAAATTTATCGATACAATGTTCAATATATTGGATTTTATTCTAACGGACAGAGAGGAAATGTAATTGAAGACGATGTAGGGTTTATTTAAAGGTTGTTTTAGGCAACATATAGTAGCTCAGATTACAGACGAGTATCTACACGATATTCAGTTTTGCAGTCAAATAACACATATTTATGAAATATGTTTACATTTTATATAGTGTGTATATCTATATGTTTACCGATTATGTTATGTCAGTTATAGTAGTTTGTTTGTTCATGTTTTTACCATAGTAGTAGAAGTAGTGTGAATGTCATCGGATAACAACACTTTACCGCACAGCCACTTGAAGAAGTTTTAAAAACTTCTATATTTAAAACATTTCCTTTCATTGCCTTACTTATTATTTCACCTTATAATAATTAATATTGTATATACTTATATATGCGCTAACACTTTATAAAAAGGTTCATTAGTTAACATTATTATTTAACTTAACTAAGAATGAACACTACTTCGTCAGCATTTATTGATCTTAGTTAATATTCATTTGTTATTTAAATCAAAGGTTGCATTTGTTAACATTAGTTAATGCACTGTGAACTCATGAACAATGAACAGCTGTAATTTTATGAACTAAAATTAACAAAGATGAATAAATACTGTAACAAACGTATTGCTCATAGTTCATGTTAGTTAATGAACTAATGTTAACTACTGAACCTTTTTATTTATGCTTTTATGCTTTTTATATAAAGTATGTATTTTATTTATTTTTCTGTACATCACTTTGTTTGACTTTGGTTGCTTTAAAGTGTTTTATAAATAAAGTTTTATTTCTATATATACATATTTGTCTCTGAAGCTCAGGATGTCTGCCTACCCCAAAACCCACAATCCTTTCGCTGATGATGATGATGATGAAGAGGCTCCGAGAAGAGGCTTTAACTTTGACGATGATCCGGAAGAGAGTTCGCTGAGTCCGGCAGAGAGACGCCAGCAACGGCTTCAGCAGGAAGTGATGCGTACAGCGCAGTCGGCCGTGGACAGCAGCCAGCGCTCGCTCGGACTCATCTACCAATCAGAGAAAGTCGGAGCCGAGACGGCAGAGGTGAGAGGAACCCCCGAGGCTGAACCCCAGAGGGATAGGTCACCAAAACATTTTAATTATCCCATATTTTACTCACCCTCATCCTTCTGTCAGCCGAACACAGAGTTATATTAAAATCCATCCATCATAAAAGTGATCCATACGACTCCAGGGGTTAATTAAGGCCTTCTGAAGCGAAGCAATGCGCATCGGTCACCAATTAAAAGTCTAAAACAAGGAGAAATGTGGGAGGAACTTGAGTTTGTATTTATTTGAACCGCGAGAGGCGTCAACTCTCACCCGAGCTTACGCTAGTCCTATCCTACGTCATGCGTCGGGTCAGAGGTCACTCTTTAGGTCAGAGGTCACTCGTCATGCGTCGGGTCAGACATCACTCTTTGGGTCAGAGGTCACTCGTCATGCGTCGGGTCAGAGGTCACTCTTTAGGTCAGAGGTCACTCGTCATGTGTCGGGAAAGAGGTCACTCTCGGTCAGTCGCCATGTGTCGGGTCAGAGATCGCTCTTTAGGTCAGAGGTCATGTGTCGGCTCAGAGGTCACTCGTCATGCGTCAGGTCAGAGGTTACTCTTTAGGTCAGAGGTCACTCGTCATGTGTCGGGTTAGAGATCGCTCTTTAGGTCAGAAGTCATGTGTCGGCTCAGAGGTCACTCATCATGCCTCGGGTCAAAGGTCACGATTTAGGTCAGAGGTCACTTGTCATGCTTCAGGTCAGCGGTTACTCTTTAGGATCAGAGGTCACTCGTCATGCGTCGGGTCAGAGATCACACTTTTATGATGGATGGATGAGCTTTTTTGGCCTTCAAAAACTAAGGTACCGTTCACTCCCATTATAAAGCCAGGATGGTTTTTAACATGGTTGTGTTCGGCCAACTATGTTTCTTGCTTTGGCTATTTCATGATTTAAATCACTTGATTGTTTTCCACAGGAACTGATTCGTCAGGGTGAAGCTTTGAAAAGGACAGAGAGAATGATTGACAACATGGAACAGGACATGAAGACCAGCCAGAGGCATATAAACACCATTAAGAGTGTGTGGGGAGGAATGGTCAACTATTTCAAAGGCAAACCTGAACCTCCCCGACCGGCACAGAAGGACCAACCGGTGTCCTACGAGGCCAACCGCAGGTACAGTCCAGCAGCTTTACAAGTTCACAAGTGCTTTAATTGTTCTTGTAGTGCATCGTTTTCCCTTTTCCTTCACTATCTGTTTCAACTCATGCATTTATGAAAGCTAAATTTGCCTACTACTTAAGTAACTTCACACATTACAGCAAAAAGACTTTCATTTTAACATGAAATGAATAGACGTAAAATAGACATAAAAATTTGATTCACTTGATTCATTTGATTTACATCAACAGTCTTAGTCGGGAAAGATGTCGTATCTGGAAATGCAAAGTCTGAATATTATTCAACAACAAAACGGTTTTGTGTGATGATATCAGCTTACAGAATGCACTTGCGGAGAGCAAACAGCAGGAGGACAAATATCAAGCCAGCCATCCCAACCTCAGGAAACTGGAGACATCTGGTAAACACACATCATTGTGCACTTACAAAGTTTACGCACCAGACGCTGGTCAAAACTGCAGCACAAACTCAACCCAAACAGTTTACAAATCATTTGCAGATGTTTTATTACATTAACAAATCGCCTAATACCATTACAAGTGAAGGGTTTAAATACTATGTGTTGGTTTATTAAATTATAGGGCTTGTTTTGTTGGAGAGTTTGATTAATCAGGCCAATAAGAGACTAACATTGGTTAACGCATGAACTTACAATGAGCAATACATTTGTTACAGTATTAAAAAAATAAAAAATTTGTTACAGTATTTATTAATCTTTGATAACATTAGCTAACTGTTTTGTTAGTTCATGTCAGCTCCGTGTCATTAAATAATAACAAATACAACCTTTGATTTGAATAATGTGTTAGTACGGTAAATGTTCTAACAAAGATTAATAAACGCTTTAGAAGTATGTTTCATTGTTAGCTAACGTAGTTCACTAGTGTTAACGTGTTATTGTTATCAAACTAATGTGTTGCTAAAATTGATCAAACTGATCCGAGATCAGGTAAACCATTTCTGCTTTGAAATTTCTAAATGTTTTGAAGCCTTGTTTACTGATATCATCAATGAATCACGATGATTTTGAGTGCTTTTTCAGAGATAGAGCTCAGTGTCGGAGAAAAGCAGTTCTTCGAATCACAAATGTTTGTTTGAACAGGTTTCGGAGCTTCCGCTTCCCTGGATAACGGGCCGTCCGATCAGAACGGGTATCCTAAGAACAGACAGCTGCGCGCCGCACATCAACAGCTGGACTCAAACCTCGGTGAGAAATACAAGAGTTTAACCTTCATCCGGAATTTATTTTACAGATTGAGTTCTTCGTCGGAGGGGTCCAAGACCCTAAGACTTTCGTCAAACCATGAATACACACAAAATGTTGTTTTTTTTAGTTTTGTGGTTGAAAAAAGTAACAAATGCTTGCCTCGCGGGTCCATTTGACCCTCTTAGGAATGAATGAAATGTTTCAGTACACATAGAAAAACTTAAAAATGCTCAAAATTCAAAATATAAATGCAAAAACTTCAGTAGCACCTCATTGCAGTACACGAGATCCAGGGGGCGGAGTCGGATCCAGATCTGAGGGGTGGAGTTGGGTAAGCTGGGTAGGTTTAAGGATGGTTTAGGGATCAAGGGGTGGAGCTGGGTAGGTTTAGGGGTGGGTTTAGGGATCAGGGGGTGGAGCTGGGTAGGTTTAGGGGTGGGTTTAGGGATCAGGGGGTGGAGCTGGGTAGGTTTAGGGGTGGGTTTAGGGATCAGGGGGTGGAGTTGGGTAGGTTTAGGGATGGGTTTAGAGATTAGGGGGTGGAGCTGGGTAGGTTTAGGGGTGGGTTTAGGGATCAGGGTGTGGAGCTGGGTAGGTTTAGGGATCAGGGGGTGGAGCTGGGTAGGTTTAGGGGTGGGTTTAGGGATCAGGGGGTGGAGCTGGGTAGGTTTAGGGGTGGGTTTAGGGATCAGGGGGTGGAGCTGGGTAGGTTTAGGGGTGTGTTTAGGGATCAGGGGGTGGAGCTGGGTGGGTTTAGGGATCAGGGGGTGGAGCTGGGTAGGTGTAGGGGTGGGTTTAGGGATCAGGGGGTGGAGCTGGGTAGGTTTAGGGGTGGGTTTAGGGATCAGGGGGTGGAGCTGGGTAGGTTTAGGGGTGGGTTTAGGGATCAGGGGGTGGAGTTGGGTAGGTTTAGGGGTGGGTTTAGAGATTAGGGGGTGGAGCTGGGTAGGTTTAGGGGTGGGTTTAGGGATCAGGGTGTGGAGCTGGGTAGGTTTAGGGGTGGGTTTAGGGATCAGGGGGTGGAGCTGGGTAGGTTTAGGGGTGGGTTTAGGGATCAGGGGGTGGAGCTGGGTGGGTTTAGGGATCAGGGGGTGGAGCTAGGTAGGTGTAGGGGTGGGTTTAGGGATCAGGAGGTGGAGCTGGGTAGGTTTAGGGGTGGGTTTAGGGATCAGGGGGTGGAGCTGGGTAGGTTTAGGGGTGGGTTTAGGGATCAGGGGGTGGAGTTGGGTAGGTTTAGGGGTGGGTTTAGAGATTAGGGGGTGGAGCTGGGTAGGTTTAGGGGTGGGTTTAGGGATCAGGGTGTGGAGCTGGGTAGGTTTAGGGATCAGGGGGTGGAGCTGGGTAGGTTTAGGGGTGGGTTTAGGGATCAGGGGGTGGAGCTGGGTAGGTTTAGGGGTGGGTTTAGGGATCAGGGGGTGGAGCTGGGTAGGTTTAGGGGTGTGTTTAGGGATCAGGGGGTGGAGCTGGGTGGGTTTAGGGATCAGGGGGTGGAGCTGGGTAGGTGTAGGGGTGGGTTTAGGGATCAGGGGGTGGAGCTGGGTAGGTTTAGGGGTGGGTTTAGGGATCAGGGGGTGGAGCTGGGTAGGTTTAGGGGTGGGTTTAGGGATCAGGGGGTGGAGTTGGGTAGGTTTAGGGGTGGGTTTAGAGATTAGGGGGTGGAGCTGGGTAGGTTTAGGGGTGGGTTTAGGGATCAGGGTGTGGAGCTGGGTAGGTTTAGGGATCAGGGGGTGGAGCTGGGTAGGTTTAGGGGTGGGTTTAGGGATCAGGGGGTGGAGCTGGGTGGGTTTAGGGATCAGGGGGTGGAGATTGGTAGGTTTAGGTATTTGTAGGGTGGGAGGAGTTGGATCTGGATGTTCTGCAGTGAGGACCATCTCAAAAACTTGGGATGTGAAAGGATGTGGACTCACTCACAGCCAGGATCTGATGTGTGTGTGGTGTTTTGTCTCCAGATGAGATGGCGTCGGGTCTGAGCCGTCTGAAGGGTCTGGGTCTGGGGCTGCAGGCGGAGATCGACGACCAGGACGTCTCTCTCGACTCGCTGCTCAACAAGGTCGACAACATGGACGGCAAGATCAGCTCCACCAACCGGCAACTGAAAAACCTCAAATAGACTCTGAGTGTGAAGTCATTCCATGGCCATGATGAAAAACATTTTTTTTTTTATCTTCTCTCCAAGGGAAGTGTGTTTGTGTCTATGCATATGTGTGTTGGAGAAGTTCAACATTCTGCCTTCATTTAGTCACTTACGGTCCGATTATACGTAAGCCGTGGATGCCTCTGTGTGCGACTGTTCAAGATTGATGTGAATAAACTGATGATGATCTTTGAGTTAAACATGTGGCCTGTAAGATAAGTATGTCAGAGATGCACACACAACCATTTCAATTTTTTTAACCATACCTTGCACTCTTTAACTCTGAGCACCTAGCTTAGAAATCCCTTTGTTTTTGCGCCCTGATGAGAAAATGATGTATCCTCATATCCCATGCAAGCACACTAATGGAGTACTGTGTATAAAGGTGATCAAATAGTAAGACAGAAAGATATTGGTCTGACTCTCATTTCACCACTGTCTATAGAGATTAGTACTCAGTCTTTATGTTAATCACTATTTTGAATGCAACCTGACAAACTTGTGTTATTTTCTTTTCCAGCTCTATATTAGGGTAGCTTTATTGATAGAATCTGCTGAGGTTTTTCTATTTCTGGAATTCATTGTTCAAATGTTGCACTCCTAATAAAACAAACAACTTCCGTCTGCTGGATGTGACATGAAATGTGTGGACATAAATAAAAAATATGTTTTTTTAGTCACTTAATTTGTCACTGCAGTGGATGAAAAATGAGCAGCAAAGAGCATGCATACTGCAAAAAGTGCCATGTCGAATGCTTTGTACATGTACTCTGTGATTATTGGGGTATTATGTAAAATATCATAGAACATTAATTTTAGTATTATAATATTTCAAAGTACCATGCATGCTCTCTGATAGCGTAAGCTAATTTAAGTGGTAATTGCAATATCAGTCCACTAGATGGCGACATCACATCTTGAGAAGCCGTTAAAGGGATAGTTCCCAAAAATAAACATTTTGTCATGTTGACTGTGTTTAGTTTTTATTTACCTATATTAAAATCTCTTTTACAAGAGAGACCTGGCCAAGGTAGCAACCATACAGTAAGACAACATTTTAAAATACAACACATAAAATAAAAATATATATTTGAACATAGTATCCTCTCAAGAAAAACGATCACAAGCCTTTAAATTAACCAATTTGTCTAGTTTTAGATCTTTTAAGAAATTATTCCATGCCCGTGATAGGAAAATGCAGTTCCCCAGTTCAATTTTGAAAAATGTTAGTACTAACATTCTTCAAAATATCTAACAGAAGAAAGAAACTCATACATGTTTGGAACAGACAAAATGTTCGTTTCTTAGTGAACTATATCCCTTAAACATGTTTTATTATTGAGACCATGAACTAATTAATAATTTGCGTTATCACCAGAAGAAGAAAAAATGTAATCGCTCAAAAACGAAAATATCACGTAAACGAGCTCGATAAAATACGTTAGTTCATAGATCAAAGAGTGACGTTTCTCCAGAGCCGCACACATTCATTATCATTCTTTCTCGCGTGCACATCTGCGCGCGCGACACAAGGCCGTTATTAACGGCTCGCGCGAGCATCTGTTTTGCGCGGGAGACTGACTGACTGGCGGCTGTTCTCACTGAGGTAAGTTAGTGACATTCTGTGGTTTATTATGTAATCAGTTAACTCATTATGTCACAAAAGTACTTGTAAACGTAGGGTTTGGGGCTGTGGGAAGGATGTTAGCAGTCTGTTCCTGAAAGGAAAATACACACACACACACACACACGAGGGAAAAGTTTATCTGTCACTGGCACTACAGCAGTTACACCCAGTACTTTTCCTACTCTGATGTTGAAATACCTCTGCATATAACACACAGTTCTGCTCAGTTTAATCAGATTTTCATTGGTTATGTTCACTTTTGTATTGGAGTGGCTCACGCATTTAGTTGATGCGCTGGAATGCCTTTCTTTTCAACACCTAATCCCAGAATTCACTGCTGTCAGCACCCATAAAGCAGTGGTCCAAAGATGGCATGTTTCCAGTTTACCCTCGCCTTTTCATTTCACTTACAGACTAAACCCTTCACAATAATCAAATAAAACCTTACCAAACCCATAGATATCTAATATCACTCAATAGTAATGTAACAAAATCCCACCTAAAGCCTCAAGTTTCGATTATTCTCAAGTACACACTGATTTATTTGTTTTTATTTGAAGATATCTTCATAGTTAGACCAAAGTGAAACATAAATTATACAATTAATAAATAGCTATACAAGACATTTAAGATTAAAGGTGCAGTAAGCAATTTCTGAGAAATGCAATATCTTAAAATCACCAAGACAAATCACACCCCTATCTTGATAGCTCCACCCCCAAATTAACTAACAGGCTATGCAGCACAAGCCCCACCCCCCTCATGAGTGGACACGCCCCTTAGCTTTCCTCAGAGATCGCTTACTGCACCTTTAATAGACGATTTGTTTGTAAAAGAAATTATTTTTAACTGTCACTAGAGTTTGACAAGAAAGGCATGATGGTGGTTCTTTACTAATCAATAAATAACTGTGTTTGAATCTCGAATGACCTGAAGGACGCTTAAAAACAACTTGATCATACCTAGATTTGAAATTATTAAAAATGCAGCGGCTATTTGCACTAAATGAAAATAGCGATAGATTCTATTTACACAATGTAAAAATAGCAGTATTTTCTGTGTAAATAGTAGATGTTGTACATTTAGTGTGAATGTACATTAAACAGTATGCGATAATAATAGTGTAAATGATTTTATTAAAATTATTAAATGGGTGCCACCTTATCGGGACAATAAAGCCCTCCCAACATCTACCCCTAACCGATAAACACTTTTTTATTAAACACACGTTAGAAACTTTATTTCCACTTTTTGAATATTTTCTTAATTTTTACTGAAAATAAATGCCTTTTAGATCTGAAACCGAGCGGATTTGAACTCGTGTCAATTTGCGTCAAAACTTTCTACCACGCGTCTGACCGCTGCATTATTGCTACTCTAGACAATTTGACGTCTTCCATAATTTTATCTGGTCCAATCAGACGTCAGTGGGCGGAGTTAGTGTAAATAACCTCTGCCAACAAGCTGGGCTATTTGCACTTAGTGAAAATAGACAAAAACCTTCTACACTGTAAAAAAAATATTTTCAAGATTTGTTATCACAACATTTTTTCTTTTGTCAAATCAACTTAAATAATTTATTTAGTTCAGATAACTTATTATTTTGAGTTTCTGATGATTAGATCAATCTCCTTCATTGTATTAACTCACTTTTTCCAGTTCAATCAACTTAAAATTTTAAAGCAACCAGGTTACTTAATTTTTAAATTAAACCAACAATATTTTTTACAGTGTAGGATGTATTTCATGTAACTTGTTTCCGTGGTATTCATGACATCCAAGTACACACTAAAGAAACACCGTATCTACTTTTAAAACCTCACAAACCCCTTTAGAAAGCTCTTTAGTGACCTCACTGGTGGGAAATTATCACTTAGCTCATCTGTTGCCTTTTCAATGATGTCACTTTTTTATCATTTATGGACTTTTTCCATTATTATTGTATATTGACAGTAGAGAACAGACAGGAAGTTGGGGGAGAGGGATCGGTTCATGACATAGACCAGATTTGGACCTGCATCTCTGTGAACAGCGTTTATCTGAAGCTAGTTCGGACACATTGAGCCTCATTCATGAAACATGAGCACTGAGCAGAACGAACTAGTGTGCATTATACACACACACACACACACACACACACACTGGATTTAAATGCCAAACATATAACATGCTAGAAACATAATAATCACTGGAATAATAATCCAATCAGCAACTTTTTTTGGCCGGGCAGTGTGTACTGTGTACTATACACACACACACTCACACACTCTTTTTAAAAATATATTTAGTAAAGACATCCATACATACAGTAGACAGTTTTGTTTAATAAACTTTCAAATATAAACGTATATTAAATGGGCATATTTTTGGTAAAAATCTACCGTAAATGAATTAGATTACAAAGCAGTATGTGGTTATTCATACATATTAATTGCAGTATTTATAATATAATATATTTAGTATATACACAATTTTGTAAAGACATTCAGGAATTCATAGTTTGTTTATTATCACTATTATATACAAAAAAACAAAAAACGAATTGAAAGCATTTAAGCAGAAGTTTAAAAGCTATATAAGTATAACACATTTAATTGTATGCCCAAACGTTTGTCTTGTGTTTGTAAAGCAGTGAAGAATGTCCACTGTCATTCAGCACATCCTACAAAAGTGTGTTAGGGACAAAACACATGATTACCTGAATCTCAAGTATGCTTCCCTGAGCAAGCATGCAAAAAATGCCATAAACTGTATGTAGTTAGCATAGTATGTGTGCAGACGGGTGAATGTAAACACAAGACGAGCGCTTTGATCTGTAATGAGCACGTGCGCGCTACATACCTCGCGATGGGTTAGTGAACCGAGGAGGAATCGCACCGATATGTTAATCATGACACTGAAAAACAACAACTAAAAAGCAAGCAATGAAAGAAAACTGAGCTGAGACGTATGACTGTTTAATGTGTGATGGTAAAAACAATAACAAAATCATACAAGAGCATCAATAAAACGCAAGCTGTTGAAATATTACTCAAAGGCGAAAGATACAATGAACTTGCAATCTAGAAAGCATTTATTTGGTGCAATCCTGATGTGTGTGCGTGTGAGTCACTATATATTCAAATCAGAGATGCTGTAATAATAAATAAATTGGAAATTCATTTTAATAAAATAAATTGGATTTTAATGGAAAGACAAGCAGCAAAGAGAAATGGATTTATACCAAATTGTACGTCATCAGATGTGGCTCACAACCACAATTAAGGCCGTTTTGGCTTGCAAACACAACCCTATCAAGGAAGAATGAAGTGTGGTCTCAAATACAGCGTTCAGACCTAGCAAACAAGCTGAATGCTACCGACTTCAGTCCTAGAGTGTGAAAGGACATTTTCCAGAACTCATGAAAAAGAGCAAAGAAGAAACATTGAGAAACTGAAATAATACAGAATAGAAACATTCGCATACATGAGCATGTCTTTCAGCAACACGTGCATGCAACCATTACTCCACACACACACACACACACACACACACACACACACTGACAAATGGAAGATACATTCAAACGTATATATAAATACAGTACATCAGAATCAGAAGAGTAGAGAAACCGTACAGAGTGAAAACTGTCAGGGCTTGACATTAACTTTTTTAGGCACGTAAATTTATGTTTCACTTGTCCATGCACAAAAGTCACTTGTCCGGGTAAAGATTTATAATTTTATCTAGGGCTGCAGAATTCGGGGAAAATGTCATATTGCGATTATTGAGGTCAATATTGCGGTTGTGATATGCGATTGCGATATATAATAAAAAAAATAGTTTCATGAGTCAACTTGTTTGGTTCTAAACCAAATGCACACACAGATTAGGGGTAATTCTGAAATTAGCAATAACAACTAAATGATTGATAACACCTATAATGATCAATAAGCCATTGATGTCTGGATAAAAATTAACTGTCTAACAGGTAGGACATATAACAGGGACAGAATGTGTTCAGTTAAAAATGTATGTATTGTTATAATTTACACAAAAAAGGTTTACTTTCACATATATCTGATATATACTTGTCTTAGAATGAGGGTGTTTTTCCCTTTAATTGTTGCGATGTCATCACGAGTCTGTAAATTTCCTGTTTTGTCTCCACCTCTTCCTCTTGAGGAGATGAGTTATTTTTGGCTCTTCTTAATCTTAATTAATCTTCACTTTAATCATTGGTTTTATGTTTATATTTTCACTTCAATGCATGCATATTGGGTTACTTTACATATCTGTATGGTTATTTCGGTGATTTTGTCCTGATTGAGTTATATTTTTGACTTTGATCCATATATGTGGAGATAAAAGCACATGGTGACTAAATGTACGTCACATTTGTTTTATAGTGATATATAGGAGCGTCTCACTCAAGACTATCCTATGTGTTTTGTGTATCAGAGAGTAAACCCAGTGAAATCGCCGCCTGTGGTCCAGTGTCTTTATCTACACAACGCAGACAAGTATTATTATAACTGGTGTCGCGAGCCACCGGTTACATACAGAAACTGAATAAAGTTATCAAACAGTCTGCGCTGCATAAATTATAAATTATATAGACTACTCCTTATTAAAGCTACACAAGTTCTTTAGTCAAGAGCAGTGAGTAATTTTCTCTAGTCCCTTTGTTCTTTCATTAACTTTACTGACTGAACGCTTTATTGGTAGCTGGCCCTTTAAGATCAGCCACTGTGGACAGAGACGCGGATCTCACACGCGTCTCTTTCTCACGAGTCACAACTCTTTATGTCCATCGTAAGACTGCTCTTATGTTATGAAGATACTCGACAAATTACATTTTGGCTTAATTGTGTGTGTTGTTGATGTTCGTTCAAGCGTGAAAGAACTTCTGTGCATGCGCATTATACTGGCACACGTCTTTCTGTGAGTCACATTCACAGGCAAGCGAAAAATGTGTTCGTTTCAAATCGACGTAAAAAAATAGACGTAACGAGTGGCACATAACGTGAAGTAACATGGCATTTTATTTAATTTGAAATTTAACTTGTCCGGTCGGACAAATAATTTTCTCTTCTACTTGTCCCGAACAAGCGGACAAGCCTTAATGTCGAGCCCTGACTATGATATAAGGCATCAGAAACGGGTGCAGGTGCATGTGGAGAACTGGAGGTAGATAGAAGAGCTTGGGAAAGCAGGGTTGTGTGTTGGTTACGAACTGATACACAGATACGCTGTGGCGTCATTGCAGTTCTTTTGATGGAGAATTTGGCTTCAAAAGGCATGAAATGACTCCCTTGTCCCTCGAAATGAGCTTTAAAGGCCGTGTCGGTTCAGACAAAAATCACGGAGTACGACGGACACCGGCAGTCCTCAGTGAAAGACTCTCGAACCCACGACCCGGAGCAACCGGGTGCTGACGCAGCGGCCCAGAAGGTTCTGGTGGAAAACACATGTTTTTGTCAAGATTTATTGAAGTAATAACTTGTCTAAAGGCCCGTTCACAACAAGAATGATTACTATAAAGAATCGTAAATATAAAAATCGTTCTCCATATCAAAGAATAGCTTTATTATTAAAGAATTATAAAGTTCACACCACAAATGTAACGATAAAAATATGAGGAACGATATCATTGGGATCACTTTCATAATGATTTTTCGAACCATAAAACACTGACAGCCAATCAGAATCCACTCGAATTTAAAGGGTTCTTGCATATTTAAAGGAGTAGTTCACTTTAAAAAAAGACATCCAAGATGTCCACGTCTTTCTTCCTTCAGTCGAAAAGAAATGAAGGTTTTTGATGAAAACATTCCAGGATTTTTCTCCATATAATGGACTTCAATGGGGTCCAAACGGTTCAAGGTCCAAATGAGAGTTTCAGTGCAGCTTCAAAGGGCTTTAAACGACACCAGACGATGTCTTATCTAGCGGACATCTTGGATGACATGGGGATGAGTAAATTCTCAGCAAAAAAAGGGTTTTTTAAAGTGAACTAATTCTTTACAATGGCAGACGACATTGTGGAGAAGTTAATCGCTGAGGTACAGAGAAATCTGGTAAAGGACATGTAAATGCAACAAACTGATATTGATTAATTCGAGCGTATGAATGACAAAGATGACAACTCTCTAATCAGACTAATCAGGATATCGTGTACCCAAAAGTCCCTGTTTAACGTAAAACAGCAGCAGGTCATAGTTTTTCGTTACTTTGAAACCGCATAGAATAAAACACTGTTATTGTTCGTTGGTGTGGACGCCAATATAATTATAGGTCTTGGTGTGAACGAGACTTAAGAGTGTGTATTCATACCTTAATTTGCTAGGCTTGGTGAATGTTTTTATATGTGTATGTTTTTAGTTATGATTGTGAAGCACTTTGTGCAACAGTGTTGCTATTAAATGTGCTATATAAATAAATAGAAGTTGAAGTACCTGATGTTCAGCAGTCCGTCTCCACGGCAACGGTTATCGGCCGCCATGGCGTCGCTCTGACACTCGACACACACGGCGCGTTCACGGACCAAACCTGCACTCCACGGTCTGACTTTACACGCAGCGCTCGCCTGCTTCACACGCATCTGCACACAATAACTGCAACAGACAGAGGAAATTTAGACAAAAAAATAATAATAATTTTGCAAACTACAAACGTGTTTCCACCGAAATTATCCGGAACAATTTGTCTTGGGAACATTTTTTTTTTGCTGTCTACGTTTCCACCGTGGTCTAAAGTACCGCGAAGATAAGGCAAATTAATCCGGCGATGTAGGATTGTGCGCTACTTTACAGTTCCCGCTGGATTTCATCCTCTGAATTTAAGCTTAATAAAGCCTGAACCTCATCATCTCAAATGTTCAGCGACTTTCAGAGGAGGAAATATTTACCCGGAACTAGAGCCCGACCGATAAAGGATTTTGAAGGCTGATACGATACAAATATTTTGGGGTTTTAAAATCCGATATATATCGGCCGATATTTTTTTTTCATTAAATATTGTTGGATTTCACACACGTGTAAAAGAAAAGCTAACTTTTCTGCACAAGATACGTTTGATACTTTTTCTCCATGTCTAAATGTTCACTCCTCGCAAGTATAACTTACATTTTACAATGCAGGGACTGTAACTAGAGATATGCTAGTTATAAATACAGTAATCATTACTTTATTTAGGCAGAAAAAGTTCATTGTGGTTTCCAAGCTCATTAGCGGTCTCCCACTGATGATATTGGCATTAGCTAGATTTGTGGTTAGCTAGTGATGAGCCATAATTTAGCAATAGATAACATCATACTGCAAGTTATAAAACATACATTTTCAATATAACAGGCCAAGGAGAGATGATTGAAGCATGTTTCGTCCGTTTTTATTTTATTTTTTAAATATTCATTTATCGGCCATTTATAACTGCTGATACCAATATTATCGAAAATGCCTAATATCGGCCAATAATATCGGTCTGGCTCTACCCGGAACTTCATTTAGACCCTGTTTCATGCGGTTGAAACACACCGAGTACCAGTTACTCTTTATTTAATAATTTTATCCCTTAAAACTCATCTTTGATCACAAAAATGACATATTTAAACGTATTTTCTTTGACAAAATTTCTTTGACTTCATACCTTAAAATATTCTGAACGGAACTCGACACCCTTGCCTCATTTAGTATGCGCAGTTCTATATGCAAATGAGCCCCGCCTCCACTCACTCGCTCAGCTCAGAGATCGACTGGTTGACGATCACACGTTGATTTGAGTGCGTTTCCCGAAAGCATCGTTAGCCAACTATGGTCGCAAGTTTCGTCGTTATCAGCATATTTCAACGAGTCGGTGTTTCCCAAAACAATCGTTCCAACGAACATTCGCAAGCAGCATCGCAAAGTTGTGTGGTTCAGTGTTGGGTAAGTTACTCTAAAAAAGTAATTAATTACTAGTTACTAATTACCTCTTCAACAGTGTAATTAGATTACTGTACTAATTACTCTCTCTAAAAAGTATTTAATTACTTTTAATTACTAATTACTTTCAAAATCCCACATCAATCTCAACCAGCTGAATAATACACGGATAGGCATAAATCTGTTTTAATTCTTTCAAATAAATACTATAAAACTGCATGATTTATCCTTAAACTGACCAAAGGTGGAGAAGGTTACATTATAAAAAAACATACTTTTTAGCATCAGACAATACATTTTGATGTTAAACCCACTATTGTTTTATGTCTGATCTCATGACATTTCACACTTTTTTCATACATATTTTACAATAATTCATACGAATTTGTACGAGTGCGGTCGTAATATTTAGACGCCTCATAAAATGCATCGGATTGATCTATACACAGTATTTACCTCAATTACATCAGAAGTAACTGTAATTAAATTACAGATAAATGAAGAGTAATCCCTTACTTTACATTTACAATTACAGTAACTAATTACTTAGTAATTAGTTACACCCAACACTGATGTGGTTTGAACGACAGCTCTCGACCTGTGGGTAGAGGCATAGTTTCTATATCACATTTGGACATAATAAATCCTTATCTTGATCAAAATGTATTTAGAATACATGCAAATGTAATTTACGTCTTTTAGTTTGTCAAAAGATTTAAAGTACCGTGTTTGAAGAGTGCGCATGTGCGAACGTGCTCTACTATGCAAGAACGAGCCAAATATTGAGTCTGGTAATAAAGCAAAATAACTGAGAACAATTAGAAATAGTCCTCAGATGACATGTCTTTAATTTATATTTAAAAAATCTAGCGTTAATTGGATCTCAAACCGTTTTATTAAAAGTAGGTATTACTCCACCACGTGCAAGAACGATACTGCAACAATATGGTTTCGGGAAACAGTCGTGACTAGCTAGTTGATTTCTCCAACGATGCATCGTACTATGGTAGTGAAGCAGCGAGTTACATAGTTGTACGGGAAACACACTCCTGATTGGTTTTGTGATTGGTTTGTGATGTCAGAAACACCAGCTATTTCGAACCGTGTTTTTGAGACTGCAGTTTTAAGGAGGAAATACTCAGCAATGCTGTCGACTCATGGTTTGTCTTAAAGCGTATTTTTAAAAAAAACACAGAAACAAGCTTGATTTTCACCACAGGGGGACTTTAAAGATGTTTTATTTCCGCTTTTGAAACACTTGTGTGTTGCAGGCAGTATAAGGGTGAAGGTCAGCCTTCCCACGCTAGATTTAATTAGTTTGATGTGTTTCCTGTATGGCGTTCTTTCCTCCTCCATGGTCTGGATGTTTTCTCTCTCACACACATACACACACACACACACATACACACACACACTGAAACTATACACCTGTGATTGATGAAAGGATTGTTTGCTCTGGGATTTCCTGTGTTCTGCTTAGAAGGAACCTCGGATAGTCGTTTAATCTCAGTTCATTTGAACCTGCACCTGCTATTTAATTCCTGCTCTCCTCACTATCTGCTCACTGATCACATGTCACGTACATTCTCTTAATGTCCCACACACACACACACAGATCTGATTTCCTGGCCTCAGCCAGGTGTTACTGAGGTTGTAACAAGGGTTATAAAGTGACTTAAGGATGGGCTCGTAAAATCATTTAAATTAAATCGTGGATTTGGGATGATGTTCTCAGAAAACAGAACCTGTGAAAAAAAAAACGTTTTTGTTGCTTTTAGTATTAATGGGATACTTAATCTCAGGAAAGATGAATGTGTATTTAAAATGAGTCATTTATGTAGAAGAAATGTGAAATTATTTTTGAATTTGGAGCTTTCTAGACTGAGAAAAGCTAGAAAATGTATTTTTGGCTTATGTGGTTGAAAGACAACAACTCCCAGAATGCACTTGCTTCGCTGCCCTAGGAGGCGACGCCTATCGGTAACAGAGCGCAGTCGTTAAACAACAACTCTGTGAGTCTCCGTTATGAGTCTGCTTGAAAATGAGTTTCGAGATCGCCCAAAATGTCCGGGATTCGGCTTTTGCGTTCTACAGTCGCCATTAATCATGTTTACTGTGGCGAGCGGGACGAACGCGGAAGAACGGCGCGAGTCATGTTACTGCTAATTCACTTTTGGGCCAGTAAATGATGACAGGGTTTTAATATTGGGGTAAATTATCCCTTTAAAGTCATCATGTTAGTGACAGATCATTTCTCCCATATTGTGACGCACAATTCAGTCTATTGAATTATAGAATAAAAATATAGGATGAGGTCTTCTTCTAAGCATCAGTTGTTGATTGGATGTTGAGATGTGGGTGTGGAACTCTGATTAATGTCTTAAAGTCTTTTTTTTATAAAATGTATACATGAATGAATAAGTTCTATAACATGCACATAGAAAATGAAATAGCTGAATTTTAATTTCATGTGACTTTAAGGGATTACTTCGACCCATGTATAGAATATATGGATGATTAATTATATCCAGACTATCCTTGGATAGTCAAAACCAGGATATCTATACATATCAGGTCTGTATGTAGGGTTGCCAACTTCAGAAAAGAAAAATGAGGGACAATCCTGGTTCTTTACAAGAAAATAAGGGACACTCAAAAAATATTTGTACTGTATCAAACAGTACATGTCATTTCAGGTTTGAATGTGTTTAAAAGGTTTTCAGACATAAACACAATTGTTTTGCTTAACCTATTTATGTACAATTTAATTCTAAAACAAAACCATAGTTCAAAATTGTAACATTTCTCTGAAATAGAAAGCTTTTGTAACATTATACAACACATTTTAAAGACATTAAAGAAAGTAATAGCCTACTTTTATTCAGCAAGGACGCATTAAACTAATCAAAAGTGACAGTAAAGACATTTATAATGTTCAAAACCTTTTGTTTATTTTGGATAAATCTATTTTGAAGAATCTGACTTTTTTTTTTTTAACATTAATAATAATCAGAAATGTTTCTTGGCAGAAAATCACATCAGCATTATTCCCTTAGGAAGATTTCATGTTTTCTTGCATGGCTGGATGTTATGAACAATAATCACATTGTTTGAATTCACCAAAATTGATTTGCCGAAGTCAAAACCCGGCCGGACAGTGCGCGAGTTCTGTTCCCAAATAAAACCATGATTTGTCCCAAAAGAA